TGCACGTGGATCAAAAAGATGTCTTGGGCTTGGCGCACAGATTGAATGTGAAAACCAGCGGTCCAGGCAGAACCAGTTCCAGCACCAAGCGTTCGGCTGAGTTCGTGAAGCAATATGCTACGAAATATGAGGAACTGCAGCAGCCACGCTCTTGTCTGCGCGGGCGTGAAATCGATTCGAAGACGTCTACCACCCAAGAAGTGTTGAGTGGCCTGCAACAGCAAAAAGCACTCCAGGAGTCTCGCAAGGATGCGGAACTGGGTCAAGCACATGACACAGACGATGAATGCGTTGACATCTCTACACGAGACGTTGAGGCCGGCTTGGCCCCTGTGGCAGCGGTGTTGACTTTGTCTCCGGCTGAGAAAGCTTTGCAGCTGGTGCAGCAGAAGCTACCTGTGCTTCAGTCCACTCACCAAGACGGAGCAGAGTATGCAATCTCTCCAGATCAGTACAATGCTGTGATCCTCGCCCGTTGCAGCGCCTGTGGAACAAAGCCAACGAAGCTGGACTGGCTCACTGCTTCGGAGATCGCACTCGACTTGACCCGTTGTTGGCTTTGGTTGAGAAGGATTATGGAGTCCAAAATTTCGCGTGCCCACGCGCTTCCATCGGCGGAACTAAATGTCTAATTAATGACATAAACATAGCTTGTAGCAAGGATACATGATTTTTGTATTTTACATAGAGAATGTACGACTTCATTTGCGCAATGATCACACCCCGTTGGCGAAATATAGATTTTGGATTAGGTTGTTGCGTGTTCCTTTTGCTCGTGAGCCCACGTAGGACATGGTGGCGCGTATTTTTGTACATGGACCTGGAGGGAGCGGCAAAACTTTCATGCTGAAAGAAGTCATCCTCCCGGTCTACAACGAGTTTCTACCTGGGACCACCCGAGGGGTCGCTGCCCAAAACTCTGCCGCTCGACTCATAGGAGGAAGCACGTTCCACCATATGGCTGGTCTCACACGGGCGCAAGAGCTGTTGCTGCAAAAGCCCTCTAAGACCAAGAAGGAGGCTTTGCAGCGTAAGTGGTGGCGGCTTTCGCTGGTGTTTGTTGATGAGATTAGCTTGACTGCACCGAATTTGTTGGCAGTGCTACACGGATCGGCCTGCTATGGTCGTTTCGACCTTTCTCCGGAGGATTTTCTGAGCAACATTTTCGGCAATGTCTTGTGTCAGATTTTGGCTGGTGACTTCTTGCATTTGAACCCCGTGCGAGCCAGATCCCTCATGGAAGCCTTCGGCATTGAAGTGCCGGGGGCGCCGCGATACGAGAAGATGGACGACCAACAGCGCAGGAAGAAAGTCGACATCGATGAACATGGACTTGCAGTCTTTCGCGCCTTTCTGAAACAGGTCATCTTGTTCAGAGGCTCTCACCGCTTTCGGAAAGGAGATCCGTTGGCCGAGCTCTTGGAGACGATGCGAGTGGTCGGGGGTCGTCCCTTGTCTACGGCTCTGAAGGAGGCCATTCGCAAGCAGGTGTATCGCCCGCTGGGAGGCGATCCTCGTCTGAGCAGCGATTACACCATGGCTTCAGGCTCCACTGCGCCCACCGGGCCTCCAGGTTTCTTCGCGCGCGGTGTCTTCAGCGCAGTGAACTGGGACCAGGTGGCTCGTCTCCAGCAGTTGTGCGCATACGAGTCTGCTCGCGCGAGCTTTGGTGTTGCAGCTTTCCGCAACACCCAGACTGGACGTCCCCAGCTGATTCGTCGACACTTTCCGACGTATCTTTCGAGGTCCTTTCAGTCTCGCTTCGGAGCGGTCTTCGCCAAGCAGGAATCCTTCTTGACGTCGTTGCTACATGACAAAGGTCGTCTGCTCTACTACGTTCAAGCAGTGGATTTGGTGCATCAAAGTGAGTTCACCAACGATAAATCCATTCTGCGCGAGATTCTGGGCTTGACCAACATGGCAAGTAAAACTGGCAACCTCATGTCGTTTCTACCGCTGCACTTGGGCTTGAAGGTGAAGGTGACGAAGAAACTCTTGCCACCAGAAATCGTGCAAGAGTGTCCGGCCGAGGTGATCGCCATTCAATTTCATCCCAACGAACGCTTTGGCGTGCCTGGCCCGCCCGCCGGTGGTGGAGTCCCCGCGGGATCGCATCCGTGCTGGGAGACTGGATATGTTCGCCTGGACTATCTCCCTGCCTCGATTACCTTGCGTATTGAGGCCTGGGCCTGCAACTAAATATAGTCTGATATACGCGGATGTGACTGAAGACAAGTGTCCTGCATAGTTTGTGAACATCGGTTTTTAGACAGTTTAATCTAACCTTCTGTAGGACCCATGTATCTCTGAGTCACACCTGACTTGCAACAGGATCAGCAAGAAGATTATACTGGACAGCTTCTGCCTGGAGTGTGGCATTTAGAACCGAGTGAAGATTCTTTCCGCGTGCAATTGCATCGCAAAGGAGCCTTGATGTTGGATGTTACTCGGATACAGTATCCTCTTGCTCCGCTGGCTGCTGGAACCTACAACAATGCCCAAGGCAAGACCATCAAAGGAGTTGGGCACACGATTGATTTTTCGAAACCAGATTATTTTTCGGCAGACGATTATACGCAGCACTTGTACATGATTCTTGGACGCGCTCAAGCTCTCGAGTATTCCTTATTTCGCAATTTACCGGAGACGCCAGAAGGCGATATTGATTTTTCAATCTTTGAGACTGGTCCACCTGCGTATATTGCCGAGTTTTTGGATCGACTGCAGGACTTGTTGGCTTGTTTAATGTGCTATGTTGGATATCCACGGACTGATTCACACTGCTCGAGTGATAACATATGAAATAGCCACGAGTCATACCATCCGCAACCGCGCGTGTGTCGATCTTGTATCATTGTTTGCAGGAGGTTGCGCTTTTGTCTCGCTCTGCAATCGAAGAAGCTCGCAGACATCTGCCTGGTTTTCCAGCCGCGGAACACCTACCGCGACCGACCCGCAGAACACCAGAGGGTCGCTTTCAGTACGTCCCAGGGGCTTGGACGGCGGCTACGAGGGCGAGTGTAGTGACTGAGTTCAGGGGAACCAAAAGGAAGTACGACCCCACCAAGTGGCGTCAGCTGCGAACGGATTTCTGCGACATCTGGTCTCTTGTGCTGGAAGAGGTGGCCACTCCCACGGCACAATTTTTCCGAGAACACGGGGCTCTGCGTGTCTTTGCCGCCGAAGCTGGTGGAGGCGGCGATTGCTTCTTCTTGTCCACTGCGGTCGTCCTGATGCAGGCGCGAGCGGTCCACCCACGACTCTTGAATCTTTTCACTTCCGATGAAGTGACTGACTGGGACGACCGAACTACGGTCGCGGCTGCTCTCCGCAAGATTGTCGGGCAACACATGCGCGCCAAGACGCCAAAAGCATTCTTGAACTTCGTCGTCGGGTGTTTGGTGCGCGAAGCTGCGAGGACATGGCTGGACGACTGGTCCATGATCGCACTCTTGCGTGGCTCTCCTTTTGCTTTCTTGAAAGACGCCAACGATGTCCTCGGAGCAGAAGTTGTAGACGACGCCATGCTAGTTCGCTACAAAGAGGGCGACAGCTCCGTGACGAGGAGCAAGAGAGTGCGTTCTGGCACTGCGGCCCTGGTGTCTTTGCAGCATGCCGTGAGTGCTGCTCTCGAAACTTGTGGGAATACTCATTGGGCAACAGACGTCGACTTTGTTGCGTTGGCCACGGAGCTCAATCTTGGCTTCATCATTGCTGGAAATACTTGGACCCAGACGTCTGTTGTTCGAGGCCCCGGTGACACATCTAACAAACGCGTGTGCGATAAATCCATACGAATGTTGGACTAATGACATAACCTATAGGATAGTTTTCTTCACTTCCGTTGTGTGTGTCTCATATACTTCTTGTCGATGCAGGCGAACCACAACAACGCACGGTCTTACACTCCTATTTACAAGAAGGTCAGACGCCGCAGTTGTGGATTTCTCTGTATTATGTGGACGGTTATCATTTTCAAGTGCTTATTTTCGAGATTTTGGGACAATGCCATTGTTTCTTTCGTGCCGCGGATCTGCCAGAACCTTTACGCCAGTGCTTGATTTGAATGCAAAACAAAGACCCTTCATGATGAAGACGGAGCTTGGTGGTGAAGTCCCCAGCGCATGCTGCCTTGGTGGTGGAGTCCCCAGCGCATGATGTCCAACAGCGTGCCAGAGAGTGAAAAAGAGATTCTGACCGGCTATGTCTCTTTTTATACGCAGTGGCTTGACGTATGTGTTTGCATTCGGGTTCGTGGGCTCCATCTTGTTTTGCTAGAGATTTGCCCGAGTCCAGGGCAGCCAGCCGTGAGCTCACCATCAGCTCTTTTGGAATCGTCACCTTTTCAGGAACCAGAACTCAGAACTCACCACCCAGAGATGCTCAGAATGACCCAGGCTATGTGGACTTTCAAGAAAATGTGACCCCGGAGGCCTGCAAGGACAGACTCTCCACGTACGTCGGGACCGTGCCTCTTTTCCGCCGCGCCCAGGTCGGTCGGCGGTTCAGGTCTTGGACCGATCGGTTCGGGTCGTGGCCGGTCGGAGCGAGCGTCGTAGACTCTGTCCGTCGTTGGTGAAGAAGCATTCCACACCGGCAGGTGCGGGGTTGGGTTCGGCCTATCTGAACTATAGACAAGGTGTTTGGGACTTCAAAAAGAGCATAGAGCAGCTCAGCGAGGAAGTTGGTAGGCTTAGTAGGCTTGCGTCGCTTCGGGATAGTTGATCTTCGAAGAATCAACAGGGCTTGGTTGAATGTTTGCGCGCATCACCATGTGGTGATGTGTGCGATCTTAGTCTTCGCCCTTCACGGAGATTTCTCCTGAATTCTCATGTTTTCCCCGAAGCGAGAGCAATCCCCGGTTTTCCATCAGAGAGAGAGAGAGAGAGAGAGATAGACGGCCAGAAGTTGTTCGTGGTCGTCCCGCGTGGGCGACCGGTGTCCAGGAAGCCAAAGACCAGCTCGAAGCGCTACTGAGAAAGTTCGAGCGAACCGTGGAGATGCCAGTGGCTTGGAGGTTTGAGGACGCATGGTGAAACCGCGCGGAAACAGAGCCGGTGATAACATAGTGTGCAGAAGAAAAGAATGATTGTCCTAATGTTGTCCTGCTTGGGTCGTAGATAAAGATCAAAGCGAGGGTTGCGTGACCAAGTGCTGAGCTGCCGGGAATGCCACCTGATCGGCTGCGAAGAAAATCCGTGATAGCTTTGACCGACCAGTTCTCCTCAAGTGTAGAGACACCTCTTGTGGGGACAGAAAGCCCTGGAACGGGTGAAGCACCGCGGACAGCCGGACAGCCGCCGCGGACGTCCCAGGTGAAGGAATCGAAGAAGTTGGTGAACCGGACATGCCACGTGCTGGAGGAGCTGGGCATGTGGCGCGGCTACTGAGTGGAGTGTCCGCTGGCCATCCGAAGCCAACATGCGTAGTGCGGAAGCCAACTGAAACAAAACGAGCAGAGCCAAACTGGACGAAGTCCAAGCCATGTGCGAGCCAATCAACACGTGTGGATGCGAAAAATCCATTAGAGCTTCCGGTGACACCGATTCAAATCCAGAAAATACATCTCAGATATCTCTGCAGAAAGCCATCAACATCATTGCCATCAACCAAAATAGGCCTAGTCAAGGGTGAAGAACCGTCGCGCCAAACTCCTTCCAACCGTCCACCCCCCGTCTCCTGGCGCCGTCGCGTTCGTCTCGTCCACCGTCGGGGGAAGTCCGTCCGTTTCCACCGTCGGTCCAGGTCTGCCTTCCAAGACGCCTTGAAGAATTGCCCCTTGGGCGGCGATTCCGCGCGGCCAACGCGCGCGCGGGATAGCACAAGCGCGGGGTGTGGTGAGTGTAAGGGCGGCTCATAGGAGGCGGTGGTTCCAGGCAGGGGTCTTGCTTGGGCTTGGGGACGGGAGTCTCCAAAGGCTCCAGGTCCAAAACTGGCTGCTGGGGAGTTCTGGAACTGAGCTGAGAAGCCAGTAAGGCTTTGATTTCAGGTCTTCGTTGACGTTCGTTTGTGGGACTTGAACTTGCCGGGTTGCTTGATGGGTCAAGATCCAGCAAGACTCGAAATTAATTTGCTTCTCCTGGTAAAAGAACAACAATACCCTCTTAATGCCGTTGGTGGCACCCTTTCCATCGCCGGTTCAGGTTCTGTCCCTTGTTCATCCTGGTCAGGAGCGTCGCGAACCTTCGCCCGTGGCACAGACGGCGATCAGCACACCGCACACCGCGGTCGTGTCGGTCGAGGCATCCGGCCTCAGCTGGAAGCCCATGCCGACCAACTGGCCTCCTTGAAGGACACCCAGAGCCTCAGCGCCGCCCAGCGGCTCAGTGCCTCGGCGGGGTTTGTTCGGGGGGTGGCGACAGGCCGGGGCGGGCGTTCTGGTGATGGAGCTGTTTTAGGGGGTTGCACTTGGGTTTGGGACTGGAGTTTGGGTTGCGGTGTTGTCATTCGGAAGTTCAGAGCAGGAAAAAGGAGGAGGAAGATGAGCTCACAGTGTCCACCTTGAAAAGTGCAGGTAGTGCCAACGGTAGTGCCCCTTGAGCCGATGAAGGGTCGCTTCCTCGGAAAAGAGTGCAACGCGATGGTCGCTTCCCAAAGGGCAAAGGAGAAAGGGCAAATGAACCTGATCCTTGAGTCGTGCTGCGCCAACATCCTTGGCGATAGTCAAGAGGATGTCTTCAGGCCACGTCTTCAACATTTAGTGATCACATAATGTGATCAGTGACTTCTCTTGGTCATCATCGTTATCTCCAAGAGACGCCTCTGGACGTCCTGTCCGCCTTTACGGCGACACGACCGTCACGAAGAAAGCGGCACGAAACGCGAGTCTCTCGTCTCGTGTCGCTCGTGGCGCTCGCGTCGGGAGGACATCAGATCCCGTCCTTGAGCCGGAGCCTTCAAGAGATCGCCGATGCCCTGGGCGCAGGTCTTCGTGCCGGTTGGCCGGGGGGGTGGGGGGACTTCCGCGTCGGAGGAAGTCGAAGTCGTTGGAACTGTGGGGGGACGATTCGTTGAGATGTTTGTTGTTGGGTGTCATTGGACAACAGGTCGAGGTCATTGTGGTGACTGTATTGAAGACTAGATCCGCCTGGTTCTCATGAAGATCGTCGTGCCGTTCTCACGGCCCGGTCAGGGCCATTCTGCTTGGTCTTGTTCTTGGAACGCCCTGATGGCCATTTCTGTGTTTGTTATGACCAAGTGGGAACACCCTGATGAACCCAATGGTGTCCAATAGTTTCGGGGAGCTCCTCTCAGTTAGGCTTCAAGGCTTCTTCTCGGCTTCTCCTGAAAGGGATAAAATGTTCGTTCCCAAAAATATTCAAAAATAAAATGGTAAACGGAGAAAGGAAGAAAACGAACGGCTTTCCTTTTGCTCTCCTTTTCCTCTGCCTTCGACCCCGCTAGGCGGCGCTCCATCGGCGCTGCAGCAGGCGCCCCCGGTCTCGGCCAAGGCCGAGGAGCTGCTGCGGCTGGTGATGCGGCTCTTCGCCGCGCACGCGCAGGCGCAGTGTGTGTGGGGAACATGGCCAGGTGGCGTAAAGCTTCCCAGATCTGGAGAAGTTGAGCTGAAAAAAACACACGAACTAGAATTCATTGACTTCTTTTGTTTTGGTGTGAGTGTCCGCAACTTTGCTTGCTTGTGTTTTATGCTGGTGTTTCGGTGAACAAGTGACGATCCAAGTACCATGTCGGTGAATGTTGCTGATGTGCAAAGGGATTTTTTAGGCTAAGGATTGATTAACCTATTCCAAGTTGAAAGCTGAGAATCCGAACTTTCTTGCGCTGTTGATGGCTAAACAATATGGTTTAATCAAAAAGATGCGTGGTTTGGTTTAATCAAAAAGTCAAAAAGAATGTGAACATCTCTAGCTTCAAACGCGTTGTCTCCGACTACAGAAGAATGTGTCCACCATGCATTTGGTGTCAAGGACTCTGGCTACCGTGGAATCATTTTTGTGGAGCAGGTGCCTTTCGTGCCTCACGCGCGACGTCCGCGTGGTTTGAGGGGGCGTCGAAGCTGGGTTCGTTCGAGGACACCGTTGGCCAGAAACGATCAAAGGATCCAATGTGGGGCGGCAAGTGTGAGTTCTTCCATTCTTCCATTCGTGCTGTTGGAAAAAAAACAGAAGAACTCAACACCTGCCGGCCCTTCTCCTGACCTGACCGATGTTCCAAAACACCTCCACGCCTTACCCCACGCCACCACCACGCCGCTCCACGGCGCACGGAGGTGACGCTCACCTTGCCCTTGGCGCATCTCATCACGTCTCGCCTCGGCGGAAACGGCGGGCCCTCGGCCGCGGCCATCTCGGGCGGCGGGTCGATGACCGAGAGTGGCTTGGCGTGGCGTGGCGAGTGGGTTCGCCGAGGGCCGGAGGAGTCAGGGGATGGAGTGCGGGGGGGTCAGGTGGAAAATGCGAACGGAGCAAGAGATGGGTTTTGGATCAAAAGAAGGGGCCAAACGAAAAGAAAAGCCGTAAAAGACCACCGGGTGGTTATTACTGGGATGGATGATGGATTGGATTGAGTATCCAGATGAATACAGACTGTTCAACTCCTGGATGTTGTGCTTCTCTTCCACCACATCATACCACACCCGTTGATCTCCGATGTCACCATGGCTTTGGGGAGAGCTCACCATATTGGACTCCCGGCCTCCGCGGAAGAACCCGAGGCGTACGCTCCAAGCAGATGGAGGAGTTCCGGCGTGGTCAGGTACAGGTGGGGCCCCCGGCGAAAGCGTCGCGTCGCGTGGCGTCCGCGAAGGCGCCCGGATCTCGCCATGGAAGCCGTCGGATTGTCTTGTCATGTGCCACTTTCTATAGACCCTTGGTTGATATATCTGATACTGATTCCGAAAAGCCGCTAGATGAAAGCCAGAGGATGGTGCGTCCCTTGGAGAGAAAAGCCGCTCAGCCCTGCGAGCCGCGTCCCTTGGAGCCGCTCCGGAGCTCGCGCTGCTTGCTGCTCCAGCTCCGATCGACGGATGTCACCGAGGTCCTGGTGTGTACCAATGCCCTGGAAGAGGGCGTCGATGTCTCGGATCCTTGGGCGTGTCGTGGAAGGGCCGGAAGGGCGATTCGGATGGACAGAAAAGAAACGAACGAACCAGGTATATGTCATGTGCTATAGACTTTATGTATAAGCATGGTATACACACCTCGATCTATAGTGGCACTCAGAAACACTAGAGTACTCGTGCCCCCAAAAATCATGCACAGACTTTTTCGGCAGTTTTGTTTTTTGGTGTCGAAGCACCCGAGGATTGCGCCTTCGTGATTCGATTCAACAAGTTCCACACCACCAAGAGCCGCTGAGCGGGAACCACTGAGACCCGGGTCACTGGTGCACTGTGGCCGGAGAACTGATACAGCCCTTTGTTACTAGTAAGGCCGGGAGCGCCCCAAGTAGCGTCCTTGCTCCTAGTAGCGATGCCCTTTGTTACTAAGTAGTTTCTTGCTCCTAGTCTAAAGATCGGAGACTGGTCTAAGTTTGTCGTCAGAGACCCAAAAAAATGACACGTCGAGCCAAGCGGTTCGATGTTCATACCGGGCCCCCGCTACGTCATCTTCTTCCTCACCCTGACGGCTGAGCCGCCCAGGTCATATCCAGGGCAGCGGCCGAGCGCGCAAGGAAAACGCCGAGATCTACTACTTCGACAATTGTCCGGAGAATGAAGAGGAAAAGGCCAGTCCGGCGAGTCCAGCGTCACACGCGAAGGCCAACAGAGTGACCGGGGGAAGTGACTGCATGGTGTAACATCGGTTTAATTTGACTACACGAAGTCCAGGTAGATGGATGGCTGAGTGAGCTGGGAAAGTGCTTGGCAGACTGGAAAAGTGTTGTGGTTTTTCGATACTAGGTATTACTTATACTTGATTCACCCACTGTCCTTCACAAAAGTGGAAATCCTATTAATGAAATCCTTAGCACTGTCATCCCAAGATATGGAGAAAAAATACATGAAGAAACTATGTCCATGACGACTTGTTTTCATACGTTATTCCACCCTAAAGAAACCGTTTTCTGCTCACCACCCCACCACCACCTCAGCACCACCTCAGCTGCTCCGCCTCCACCCCCCAGGCGCGGCGCTTGAACCAGGTGGCCAAGGATGAGCAGCTCCAACTGAGCGCCCACGAGCTGCAGCAGCGGCGCAAGGAGCACGGGGGCGAGCATGGAGCGGAGCACGCGAAAGCTGAGCGGACGTGACTGGCGTGGAGTTCTGGCGCGTGCGAACAAAGAGGTTGATAGGAGATCTTGGATAGTGCATGATCACGTACAGACGAAGCTTCAGCGGTCGGACCCTATACCGGTCGGTCAGTTTTGAGGATGATGGGGTGTACATGAGTTGTTTAGTCAGCAGTGTTTTTCTCAGCAGGTGATGATGGGGGAGTTGATCATCAGACTTGCCTTGCAGAAGCCCATCTGAAACCTGTTTTCGATACCTTTTAGCATGCACTGCTCGGACCCAGCTCCGGGAAAACAGAGCGAGTGCCATCGACGTCAAGCGAGTCATCGACGCTCCTCATGAGATCTCGTGCTGTTTGGAGTTCTCAACACAAAACTGATAGATCCCGTTCCGAAATCCCCGTCGGACATGTTACCATCAAATCTGCGCCAAAAAGTAGCGACCCCTGCCGAGGTAACGAGGTGAACAAGAAGAATCGAGGGTCCCAAGTTCCTGCCGCTGGTTGGCCCCACCCCGCTAGGACGGCATCAAGCAGAAGGAAGGCGTTTATCCCTTCTATCCGCCCGGAGGCGCTGAAGCACTGAAATTCGGGCTCGACGATCTCGGCATGTCGTTGGCGGTTCACAAGAAAGCTCTCTAAAAGCACCAAGACACAGACTCAGCACCTGAAACAAAAGACAGCATCCCCAAACAGTCCCAGGTGAAGGATTTTTGCTGCTTGAAGCAGTTTGGGGATGTTCACCCCAGTGGATTTGGCCCACATGAGGAGAAGGACCAACCAGGGGATGCTCGGGATGCTCGTTGTGGCGACAGCAGCAGTAGGACTTGATGTTGTGCCGGACTTGACCTGTGAGACAAGGACCGAATAAATCCCTTGAATCCTTCAGAGACGACATCTGGAAGATGTTTCTGGACGTCGTTGCCTCCACGCTTCTTCCATCAACAAACTTGCAATCCGCCGACGGTCGAGGCTCTGAAGTGAACTTCTTCAACGCGTTGCAGATGCGCGGCCTGAAGAATGGAAGAGTGATCGTGATATCATAGGCCATCGCTACTAGGGTGAAGGCCATCGCTATTAGGTTCCTTTTGCTATTGGGTTGGAGGCCATCGCAAGTAGGTTGGAGACATCAAAAATGTTGAACAAAGCCTGTTGTCTCTAGGTCCCCTATAGCTGTCATCTCAACAAATGACGTTAGAAGAGGGGGCTAGCAAAAGGGGGATGACTCCAATTTGGTGCATGAAGCATGGCTGAAAGTGTTCACAGCCGCTGCAAGTCTTGAGACTCCTAGCCTCTTCACGTGGTACAAAGAAAAGAAAACAAGCTGGTGTGGTATTAAGTTGAAGCTGACCTTGGTTGCTCAATGAGGAGTGATCAGTCCCAGAAAACCTTCCTTTCGTACTACACTCACGAGAACTTGTCGGGCGCACACACAAACACACACCGAAATCCTTCTCTGTCGCATCCTTTTTCCATCGATCTGGTCCTCTTCGGCTCATCCAAAACTGGTTGCCAAGCCACATCCATGAAACGAGAAGACTCGTCTTTCTGGACTTTTTGGTCGCCCCAAAGCACGGAGGGGGATGTGGTTCGCCCAGCTGGGCTACCCAGCTGGATCGAAGGAGAGACGAAACGACCCAAGAGCAACCGACCGATCACCTGGAAGGGCATGCCAGGGCCGCATCTGGAACTGGCGAACACAAGGGCCACATCCCAAGACCGACAGATCATCTCTTTTCTGTTCCGTTGACCTCCCGGAAGGAGTTCACTCTGGGTCAATGTATATAAGCTCCTCCAAGCAACAGCACAGATGCACACGGTGATGCACCAGATGTGTGATGCGCACGGTGATGCCGCTGTGACATGATGTACGCTGTACGCGTCAACCCTGACAACTGTGAAGGGGTTCTCTCTGGCACTACGTCAGAGAGCCCTGCAGCCATGATTTGGCGGCAGTTGATGCACCGCTGGCCGGGTGCAGACGCTAGGCTGTAGCATCCTTGGGGCCAACGCATCGCCGGTCGCGATGTATGACAGCAAGGCATATGGGCTAACGCGCTTGCTGGGGATGTGGTGGTCGCCCCTGGTGGGGGAGAAGTGGTTCACAAGTGAGTCGTTACTCCGGGCGTGACCGCCCCGACCTACGAAAGTCCGTCCAGGACTTTCGTAGAACAGCCCTGACAAGGGGAGGCCGGCGTACGATGTTTGTTGCTACGGTGTACGGTGGACGTCAAACACTTGTCCAACGGGTCCAACACACACTTGGCCGCTGAACTCTGAGTCGTGGTGGACGAGTGACTGACCGAAACGACCGTTCAACGACGGGTGGATACACGTTGCTGGTGGATCCACCCAAGCAGCTGCACTTTTTCTTGCCTCACACAACTGTGTGATGAGATGGAAGAAGTCTCGGCCAGACCCTGAAGCCCAGCTTAGCCCTGTCGTTCACGCTTCGTCCGATCCCACAGCTTCGAGATCAGCCAGACAGAAGAAGAGAACGACAAGGCGGCTCCAACGCTGGGCCCTGTGGAGTTGGGATCATCGCTCCGAACCGCCGGCATTCCATCTCCTCTTTCCAAGTGGTTCCCAGTGTTGGCCATGGTCTGCGCATTGGTTCATTTGCATCGATTCAACGATTTGATTCAACGAGTGATTTGAGTGCATTGTGCATGGTGCATGGTGCATTGGCTGATCTCAAAACCCTCCCATCGCATGGCAGATTTCTTCCACGACTCCGGCGGTCGCGTCCGGATCCTCTTTCAGTGAGGCCCCTGGCCATCCACGGCGTCCCACGGCGTTCGCGCCGGTTCGGAGCGGCCGAGACCCAGGATCGTCTATGAGTACTGCGCCAAGACCATGGGGCAATCGATCAACCCGGAGGATCTCTTCACCTACACCGAGGAGGTCGTTTGCGTCTATCCCATGTCACCAGACGGCAGGGCGGGGGGGACGGAACAGGTGGTGGAAACGAAGGAAAGAAGGAACAACAGTGGTGGTTCTGGTCGTTCATCTGGTGGATGTAGTGGATTTGGGGGTGTCATGTGTTTAGCTGGGATGCAGTGGTTCGTCTTTTTTCAATTTTAGCAGGTCAAGTTGAGGGGATTCGATTGGACTTGATTGTTTTCATTCAAAGTCTTTGGAGGTGGCGATGGCAGACCTCTAACTGTACACGAGAAAAGAATGCTTTGCAGGAAATCAGGAGCATGAGGGGATCAATTTGGGACAATGAGCGGACCAATTGTGTTTGATGATGACAGCCGCATGCATGACACTCACAGAACGGTTGAAGGATAAAGGCCTACATGTTCCAGCTGCATCTTGAACATGTGGATTGAGCCGGATCCATTCCGTGCAGGATGGTAGATGTGGGACTTCTCTTCAACCACGTTACGCGGGGGATGCTCTGAACGAGCTCTAGACGTGTGTTTCAGGGAGGCAGCTCTGGTCAAGTAAATGTTCAATACGTCCCCACCCCCAAAACCAGCCACATCTCGAGATAGTGATGTGGGTGTGATGTGTTTTCTCTGTGTTTGCGCCTCCATTGAGGCATGGTCCGGCCAAGCCGAACCACCTCATGCATCTGCGCCACCGAGGCAAACGCGGCGGATGGTCTCGGAAGTGAAGTACCCCACACCACTGGGTTTTCAGCCCGTGAGCATCCAAGAGATCAACGAGCACTGGAGAGATGTGAAGCTGGAAGAGGTCTTAGACCCAGATCGAACCAAGAGATTGAAGCATGAAGACATGAGCCTTGGCAGCCTTGGTCGATGTGAGGAGAGGGGGGTTTGGGAGACTTCAAACCAGCTAAGGGGTCCTTGCAGCACAGCAGATGGGGTGGGAAGAAGATGGGGGGGTCCTCCAAAACCACACATCCTCGAATCCGGGTGTGTTTTTTTCCTGCAACACCTCTGTGTTGTACAGCAAGTGTTTTTTTCCAATTACGACTGCTGGTATGGCTGCGGGTCCAAAACTGACAGGTGTCGATAGCGATGATGAAGGTAAGGGTTCGAAACAAGATCCACCTTCACCGTCAACTAAGGGTGTCTTTTGTAATTGATTTAGGGCCATTTAGGGTTTGTAGTTTAGTGGTCATAGGGTGCATCTAAAATGTGTGGTGTTTCTTTTGGCAGGGCTGGGGCCGAAGGAGTTGATGTGAAGAATGATGGCGTGAGTTGATGTGTGCTCTCTTGAAGCAAAGTTGTTTTCACCGAGTTTGTCTTCCTTCTTTTGGGCCTGACCCCCCTGCACATCAGTGAGACACGAACTATCTCAGACAGCTAATATCGTCCGCTCCTCCTTCAGCCACCCAGCCGCAGGGATAAGCGGCGAGCTCTCTTCGTCGTGGCCATCCACATGCATCGGAATCGGCTCTTGGACGCCAAGAACCAACCCAGCGCCGAGGTGCGAAGCGACCAGACCGACGGGTCAGCGCACCGGTGCGCACCGCCAGCGAAAGGAGGAGGACGTCCATCAGGTTAGGTCACTGACAGAGTGGTTCTGGGGTCGACAAGAGTGTGGATGTGTAACTTACTGTAAATGATGTTGGATGCAGGTCTACAGCACTTGAAACTCCACACAGATGTGGTCCGCACTGAGCCTTATGAGGATATCCCGCATCGAGTCCGCTGACGGCTTCGGTATCTCTTGCATCCAACATCAGCCCCAAAAGGTTGCCAAACAGAAACCACGGGCTGTTTCAACCTCTACAAACACCCAATCAACAAGTTCAAAAAGAGGCCTATACCAAAGCCCAAGCAAAACGGATCCAACGAACCCGACCGAACCGAACCTTCCACAGACCGGGGCCGCCCTTGCGGTCGGGACCACCCTGTCGACCGGAGGCGCTGGCGGGCACCAAGTTGGCGTGCGAGGCCCCAGCCGAGAACGGTGGGGGACGCTGCGCAAGCGGGGGGAGCGCGTGGTCGTGGCCAGGAACCGCGTGGTCTGTGGATGTTTGGTTTCCGCCTTTTTCGTGGCACGTGGCGTCGCATCGTTGCTGGGAGATGCCGGGATTTTGGACGAAAGCTGCCAACAAAGGGGGAGGAGGCGGTGTGCAATGAAGCCAGGAACTCGAGGATCAGAGGAGGACGGGGCCTGTTTGGAGGAACTTTTTGGGAAGGGCGTCAGATGCTACTAGGTTGAAGGCCATTGCTATTAGGCTTTTTGGGGGGGGGTTCTGAATGAAGAAGCTTTGGTGGAAACTCATCGCACGGTCGGGTAACGTTCACACTTCCGCAGGCGATGCCCTTGACGCTTGGGAAAGGATTGAGGAGCTTTTGGATTGTTCTCTTTTTCAGACGAAAAAGAAAATGGAGCGATCAGGCTCTTGGTCCTTTTGAAGTGGCGTGAGTGCACAAGCACAGGCCTGTGCTTGCTATGCAAGGAACCAGGCCTTTGAGTCAGTTCCATGGAACCAGAGACCATGAACGACTCAAAGTGCCATGAACAACCATCAAGCACTACAAGGGAGGGGCCGATCGCGGATGACAGGATTGGTTAATTGGGCTTCGAGCTTCGTGGGAAGAAGAGAGTAAAAAACGGTCAAATCCTGTCAAGAGATCCACTAAATTGACCCCACCACCACATCCACATGGGAATTCCAGCCAAGGAAACCAGGCATCAAGATGAAGACCACCAACTACACTGCTCCAGCTGCAGCTCCGGCACCCACTGCGCCCACCGCCGCGCCGGAGGAGAACTGCAAGGGGCGCTTGAACGCCGCGCGGTCCAAAACCGTTGGGAACGGCAGACCTCCAGAGAGGGTGCACCATAAAGAGAACCCCCCACCGGTGTTATTTGGGTGGAGAGAGGCGCAGGAGACGACGCCAAGGTGAAGTCCGGAGCACGCACCGAACATTGAGGATTGGGCCTTGAAGAAATGGAGAAAGCCGGCGGATGAGCTGGTGACCTATGCCACGGGGCCCACGCCCCAGGGCTTTGTGAGCACCGTCAAGGCGGTCGAAAAGCGCGAGATGGGATGTCCAAAAGATGCCTGGTTCATCCTCGTTCCATGAGTTGTTTTTGTTCAGGAAGGAAGCATCAAAATGTTTAACTAGTGGGATCTTGAGTGCGTACCTCAAGACCCGAGCTTGGTGGAGAAGTGACCTCTTCTTGGATCACATCCCTAAGAGAAGGTCAGTTCTAGGTATTCAAGAGTCATCTGAAGAATGTGACCCATCTTCTGAAGAATCGGATCACCATATATGAAGGTTTCACATGCCTTCCTGACTGTTTCACATGCGGCGCCCAGCTGCCAGGTGATGCCCTTGGAGCAAAGCTTCAGCGGCGCAGCGGCCGCGAAGAAGAAGGACCCGGTGGACATTGGGTCGATCGATCTCGTTGGCCTTGAAAGGGCTACTGGAAATTGATGGTCTGACTGAAACTTCAAACCAACAGGCTATTTTGTTTGAAATACTATAAAGTACCAGCAGTCAGAAAGGGGTGCTATCCATGGAGGGAGTCGGGGTGCCCAGAACATCCACTCACTTAGGACGCCGAGCAGCTGGCGGCCGCCGCAGCGCTCCGCGCGCTGGGCGCCTGACGTCGCTGTGGGCGACGGTCGGCGGGGGAGGAAAAAGGTCCGGAGGGGTGCGCGAGGTCGGCGTGGGCCTGGCGAAAACAGGAAGTCCCAAGATGGAGGTGTTGTTTTGGGGGGGATGGTTTGGGGAAAAAAGCCCATGTATTACTTGCAATCGCTGAACTTGATAGTAGAGAAATATGTGTTCGTTCTGAGTCTAGCTTTGGGAGCGGTGCCTATCAGATGGAACTAAAGTGGTACTGAAGCAAGTCACTTCAAGAAACCTCCACACGTTGGCAAGGACCATTCAAAGGACAAGTATATCCCGTACGGGCTCCAGTCGTACCTTCGTTTCGAAGCTGTTTGAGGTGGGTGCCAGGAGGGTCCAGTCATGCCTTCTGAAAGGGGGTACGACTGGAGCCCCCCCCTAGGGTATAGTAGTAATAACTCCCTATAAATTCCCACGTGAAACCACCGGTTTGTCCCCCAGGTTCCAGGTGCGAAGTGGTCCCATCGCCCCGCCCCGCAACTCGCAGGACCCGCTGGTGCGAAAGTCGGCGGTGCAGGCGATCCCTCGCGTGGCAGGCGCCGCTGAAGCAACAAGGGGAGAAGGGAAATCCACAGGTGCTTAAGGGTTGTTTGATGTCGTTTGAATGGTATATATCATAGGTATTTCAGATGTTTCCGTGGTGGTTTTTAATTGTGTTTGTTGCCAGGCATTCAGATGGTGGACAAGACATGCCGGGGAAATCGGTTAGCAGCTTCGGCTTGTGCTTGAATAAGCAGGGTAAGCTCGGTGCCAGGCAAGGGCTGTGGGACTGCCATCCACGCATTGCTCCCCATGATGCAGGCGGTGTCACGAGTCGTGCCATGGAGTTGTTGGAGTCGTGGGCAGCTTGAAAAAAAGGATGGTGCAATTTCCCAACTCGTGCCGTTCCCCGGTGTGTTTGGAGCAAAAGCTTGCGTGGCCAAGTCCAATACCCTGTTCGGAGCTGTTTGCATCCGACAGCCCAGTGCCAGATGTCCTTTTTTGACCCATCAACTTTTGAAAGCAAATGAAAGCAATGGGAATTTCTGCGAGCTCTCCTTGCTCCAACCTACTAGCGATGGCCTCCGAGCAACTTGCATCCTGGCGTTCGAACGGGCTGTTTGTTGCCCGCTGGTGTCGTGATCGCCTCTCCCACCAGTCTTCCTCCAGACGCCCTCCCAGACGCGACGGGTGCTTTTCGGCCAGGATGAGTCGGTGGACGTGCGCTTGGCCGCGGTCCGAAGTGGCTCGGCGCTACGGACGAAGTTCGGTCGACGAAGGTCGAAAAGGTCAGATCCGGTCCGCACGAAGGACCGTGACTGCCTTCCAAGCGCGAGCATCCGCCAAACAAAAGACTTCGCCTTCACGAATTCCGCGATCACAAGCACAACCTCACACTCAAATCCGAAGAACACATCTATGTCCTACATCGAATTGCACCACGTCCGGACAGAGAGACCTCCAACCTCCTCCGGTCAGTCCTCCGTTCGGGTCAGGTCTGTGGCAGGTCGCCCCGGCGGGTCACGGCGAAGCCATTGAAGCGCTGAGGGTGCGGGAACCGGCGAAACGCGGAGACAGGGGTGGCTGGCTGGGAGGGTGGCTGGCGCAGGAGCTGGTGAGTCTCAGATGTCAGAATGCCTGAACGACTCTGACTCTGAAAGCTCACTTGGATTTGGGCGATTTGAAGGTCAAGCCCTTGATCCTTCCATCGCCCATTTGTTGGGCAACGTTCCATCACCCGAGAATGTCCCACTCCGACGGCGTCGACGGCAGGTGAGACTCGAAGATCAAGAGATCAGCAAGGACGGTGTGGACGGTCGTGGAAACCGTGGCCAGGCCCATAGAATGGTCGTAGAAACAGTGGTTTGATAGGCTGCATAGGTTGGTGATTTGAGTGCTAAAGACCACAGAGAAAATGCCTAAGAGTGGGTTTTCAGCCTCCTTGTCTGCAGGACTGCCCACGAGGTCAAAGAAGCTTGGCTTTGACAGAACCCCTTGTCTAATATGGTCTAATGGTCCAGGTCAGGGAAGAGTTAGATTTTAGTGGAAGGGATTGCTCTTAGTGCAGAAGATCTACCGTGGTTTGGGGAGCACCAGCACTGAAGCACTCAGTCTTTGAAACTATGTTTCACCCGTTTTTGCACCCATGAAGAGAACACCAGAACTTGCCTGAGGCGTTGGCATCTCAGCAGCTCGCGCTCTGAAGAAGATGGTGACCTGCCGCGAGGCCTTCCGTGCCACACACGGGGAACTTCCAGAGGTGGAGATCCAACCATTGAAGAAGGGAAGGATTGGGAAGGATGTGAATGAAAAACTTGGGGAAATCGCAGGCGAAGTCCTGTTTTGATCTATTCGAAGTTTCACGCCTTGGAGACGGTCCGAAACGCTGTGACGGTCCTTCACCCCACGAAGATCCATCCAGACATGCCCATCCCATGCGACCGTGAACCAATCGAAAAACCCCCGCGTTGGTGTTCAAAAGCGGCGCCGATCCCAGGAATTGCAGAAGATCGCAGAGCATCTGAACTTCCAGGGACCCACCCTGCGTGGCTTCTGAAGCGAAAAGAGACGATGGCGCCGATTCTCTCGCCGCGGCGCCGAACGGGTGAGCCGGACGGGTGAGCCGGTTCATGGTTCGGTCGACTTCATCGGTCCTTTCTTTGTGTCAGTGACTTATGAACGATAGACAGATAGATAGATAGAACGAACCCACTTGGTTTGTTTTAAAAGGATCTTGGAGAAACGGCCATTTTGGTGCAGATTTGCCCTACCTTTCTTCCTATCTCTTGGTATCCCTTGGTCGAATCCGCAGTTGGCTGAAGTTCGAAGCTTCGCACAGAGCAACTCGGTTCCGCTTCACGCATTTCCCATTTCCGCCTATCTCGACATGGCCAGGAGCTCAGCCGTGCTTGATTAGGTTTATACAGAGGCATGGCAGACAAGGCCACATTGGTTTGAGCACTAAGAGGCCAGTAGGGGTTGGCGCCAGAGCATGCCGCTGTTTTCGAGAAGGGTGAGACGGTCTTCGGCGCGACGGAACGAGGAACCTGTTCGCCACGTCTCACTGACGATCCGACACCCTTTGAGCGTTTCAAACTGCTCGTTCTGGGAGTCCGGAAGTGTAGGAAATGCCAGAAGGAGTAGCCCGTGCCAGTCTTCACTGTGCAAGGAGCAATGGGCAGCTCAAGAGTTGCCATTGATTAACAGACAATTATCTTGATTCAATTTGATTCACAATGATTTACTGTTTTGCTGTTAAGCGCTTTGAATGGTAGCATTCTTCTCAAGCATTCCAAGAAGAATCACCCACCCAGATCAGATTCTCCACATCTGATTCCGGCCCACCCGATGGCCGGGTAGAGCACGTGGACGCCACAGCAGCTCCAAGGCGATGAGTGCTGTGGCCTTCACCAACGTGGCAGCCCGGGAGCCACGGTCAATCCACCGTCTTCGCGTTCTGCTGTTCCCCCCCCCTTTCTGGATCCCCGGAAAATGCCTGCCCGAAGACGAAGGAGTTCGATTCGGGCTCGAGTCGGAATGCAGTCAGTATAGTAACAGGTGCCTTACGAACGTAGTAACAAGAAGCTAGTATGGTGGATGTGGATTTAAGAATGCTACTATAGTAATGCCAGGAGCCCAGTCTGTCGAGTTTCTCCGACCCTTCAGCTCTTGCTCGAAGCCCTGCCGGACACCAATGACGCTCTCCGCCGCGCCCAGGTGACCCCCACTGCCCAGGCTCCAAAGGAGTGGAGAGGGAGACGCGAGCGGGTCGTCATGTTGATCCACAGAGACAGAATGCCACTGAAAATAGGTATGAAAATGTCGATACATCATTGATGTGATTGTGTTTTCACCAAAGACCAACCAGTTCTTTGTCTCACACGAAGTGTTTTTTTGCAAAGGATGATACTTGTATAGACTACAAAACCAGCTCAACCTTGTCCTTTCTTGATCTTGGAAGGTTTGCCAAGGCAGCAATCTTCCCAACGTCAAGGTGTCCGAAGACTGATCTCCCATCGCGCGCCAGGCCCTCGCGGCCCGCACCACCCAACCCGGGCAGGGCGATGAAGCGCGGCAGGGTCCCGTCCGGGGACCAGGGGCCAAAGGTGGTGGGGCCGGTGACCAACCGGAGAGGCGGAAGAGGAGAGACGGACGTGAACCGGAGACCATGCGGAAAAGGAAGAAGGCATGCGGAAAACCTGCAAGTGGATTGAACAAATAAAGCCAGAAACATCTTGTGAGAACAAAAAACTTCCATGGATGGCCAATTGAGTGTTTCTGTTGAACTCCGAAATCTTTCGAAAAAAAGAAGCTACTATAGTAAAGCTACAAGTGTCCCAAAAAAGAAATCTAGGAACCAAATCATTCTTGTGAGCGCGGAATCTTTCCGAGACCCTGATGAAGTTGAGCAGCGGCTTGGCGTCGCCCTGGCTTGGCTTCACGTGGCATGCGGAGGGAAAGCTGTGTTGGAGCCGGGTCAAAAGCTCTAGATCCGAATCGGTCGGAGCCGAATCGGTGCTTTGGAATGCACTGCTTGTTGGTGGAAAATCATATTCATGATGTTCATGGTGGATGTTGAGTGGTGTTGAGTGAGACGACATTGGCACTGAAGGTCGAGCTGTGCCCAAAGCCTTTCTTGCAAAAGCCGTTGTGCTCCTAGTAGCGGTGCCCTTTGTTCTTAGTAGCTATTTGTTCCTAGTAGTAAGGCCAGGAGCCCCTAGTAGCGTTCTTGCTCCTAGTAGCCGTTTTGCTCGCGTTTTGGGGCTCGGCTGGAGCCAGGTTGGGTGCCTTGGCCTGCCGCCGCTCCATGCGAACCTCCCGGAAAGCGCAGGCCAGAAAGCGCTGGAACGGTGGTCCGGCCTTTGAAGTCGGAACATGAGTCTTTGTTCTTCAGAGTCCTTCTAAGAGATCATGAGGCCTTTGGGATCGTGATTGTGACTCTAGAGTCTTTAGAAACAGAGATGGTTCGAAATGAACTTAGAAAAACAGTCCGGCTAGAAATAGAAGATGTTGTGTGGAGACGTTCCTAGGAAGGTCCCTTCCCATTGGCACCATGCTTGAGGCGATTGATGAGAAGAGGCGATGGTCGGGAGATGAGGAACGGGATGGTCCGTTCGGGGGCGAAGCGACCAGCCCCGAAACGAACGACCAGCCCCGTTCGTAGCTTCTTGTTTCTCAAGGTTCCAAACATTCCATCCGCGCGGAACTCTTCACCGAATCTTCACCACGGAATTCTTGGAGCACCGCACCGGTATCTCCAAAAGCACCGGTGTCTTCTCGGTCGCGCGCTGCGCGCTGCGCGCGAAGACCTCGCTGCGCGAGGTTCCCGGTGCTCTCGCGCAGCGAAGCGCCGCTGGGCGTCTTCCCCAAGATGCCCAAGCCTGGAGTGCCCAGACACCGTCGCAGTTGCAGTCGCGCGGCGCATGGAAAAACGTGTTTCATGGAAACACCGGAAAGTCAAGTGGCATTGAAACACTGCTTCACTTTCGGGAAGAGAGATGTTCAAAGCAGGGGGATTTTAATATTCACGTGCGTGTAAGTGTGTGTGCTTTGATGTGCTTTTAAACTTCATCCTTTGCGCTTGTGGTGCCTCTGCCAATCGCACGCCCTGACCTTGTGGTGTCCGAACAGACAGTGAGAGATCCACTGATACCGTTCGTCACGGGAATGAGCCCCGTTCGTCGCGTCCGATCGCTCCGTTCGTAAGGCTCCGTTCTTGCCCCGGCCCTCGTCGCGTTCTGGTGATGTCTTTTTTGCGGTAGAGATGGAGACTGGACTTCAGCTCCATCTCTGATGCCAAACAGATCCGTAGAGAGCCACCGTGGTGATACGACTTGCCTCCGCTCGGGATGCTCCAGGACCGTGCACCCGGGCGTGGTGACGGGCCAGGCGAGGGATGGGGGCGATGAAGCAACGGAATGCGGCATGCGATGTGGGGATGAATGGTACAAGGATGAAGCAAGTGGCCAGTTGTTGTGTAGATGTTCGAGTTCCAAGGATGTTCAAGGTACAGTTTGGATGCTATAGAAGGCTTTCTAGTGACAAGACCCTAAAAAAGCGTCCAAACCGGTTGCGGCAGACGCTCGCTCGTACGAGGCCTTGAAGGACCTGCTGAACCATGCGAAGGAGAACGGCTATGCCATCCCCGCCGTGAATTGTGCCACGGCGGATTCGGCAGAGTCGTGGTTTGGGTTTGAGCCATCCTGGGGCAGCCACCAATCCTACAACAGCTGTTGCAGGGCTTGCCTCTTCTACCTCAGCAACCCCCTGACACCCCGAACAACGCTATGCCGCTACGATCTCCGAGCGGAGCGCCAGCGGCTGCCGCTGCCGCTTCGCACCTGCGCTTCGTCCGCGGCCACGGAGGCGTGTCCAGCTCCTCGATCAACGCTTGCATCGAGGCGGCCAGGAAGATGGATGTCAGGAAGACCCAGAGGATGAAGTGCTCTATTGAGACTGTGGAGGAAAGAAGAAAGAAAGAAAGAAAAAAAAAAAGGGGGAAGAGTAATTAAAAGGTTCTGGAGGGTCCAAAGAAAAAGAGAAAAGAAGAAAGGAGAAACATGTCAGAGAGAAGAGGTGAAAAGGATGAGGGAATTGAAAGAAGAGTTTTTAAAGAATAAGGATTTCTTTCGCTGAGGTCACTAGGCGTCCCCAGGTGTCTTTAGGTGACCGAAAAAGACGAGGAGACCATGCGCCTTTTGGGAAGACAACTACCGGCTTCTGTAAAAAGAGACCTCTACCAAGACCTCTCGCCGGATCTTCCTCCACCCATTTGGTGCCACTGGTTGCCCCACCCGCCACCCCGGTCGCCGCTGAGGCTCCCATCATGATCCAGTTCTCGGCGGGTGGAGCTCAGTGCAGAAGCCCGGAGACGGGGAGGTGGACGTGGTGTCTCAAGGTCCTCGTGGACGTGGACGTGGTGGGAGCACCTTTTGACGTTCAACTATAGGTGTTACTCCAATGTCCTTGGGGGAAGGGGTTCTTGTTCTTGATCAAGAGTCAATCCATTTCCTGTTCCAGGGGTCACAAAGGGGTGGTGTTTAGTCCCTAAGTGAGTGGCAATAGGCACCCCTTTGTGACTCCTGGTTCTGGCATCCATGAATCCCTTTCCCCCGGTTGCACGCGCTGACCATGGACGTGTACGCCGTACGTCACGTCGTACCTCGCCCGGATCGCATCGTACGCCCCGTCCGACCGGGTCGGTCTGACCGACCGGGCGGTCCGAGGTTCTACGCGGGAAAGGGCTTGGACAACACCCAATTCCACGCGGCCATCGCGGGCGCCGTCTCGGGAGCGTGGCCTCCGTGGGAGTGGGATCCGGGATCCGGGATTCACCTTTGAGGGGTCGACAGGGTAGAGAAAAACAGAGACGTTTTCGGGGGAACCCAAACAGGAAGAAAGTGACAATGCAAATTGGGAGTCTTCATAGACCTGTCAGGTACCACGTCCGCGCGGTGGCCGAACAGTACGGTGTGCCCGTGATCCTGCACACGGAGAGGGGCGAGGGGCGCTGGGGGCGCTGGGGCGCTGAAGCGCTGGCGACGGGGCGTGAAGAGCTCGGAAGAGCTCAGTTCCCATGTGGGCCTTCACTGTGAGGGTTCATCAGTTCCCATGTCTTCACTGTTTCCCAAGGTTGGAAGATCCAGAACCGGTCAAGGTCATGTTCTGAAGACAAAGAGAGAAAGGAAAATGTGTGTGTGTGTGTGTGCCATGAGCATGATGGATCTCATGTTCTGATCATAAGGTTTTTTCTATCTCATGTGATGGATCTCATGTTGGCCATGTGTTCTTTTCCCAGTCCGTGGCAGGACCACTGTGCCAAGAAGCTCTTGCCATGGTTCGACGGCCTTATGGAAGCCAATGTCCGGGCGCACGGAGGGTTTCACCGGATCTCGTTTGGGGGTTTTTGGGGGGGTCGAAGCTTGGCTGCTTGCGCTTGTGCTTGGGGGGGCACGGGGAGACGAAATGCTGCAGGCTTCCAAGGTTACCATGTTCAACAGGAGATGAGGGACACGTGTGGTGGTTGAAAGCACACGATGCCTAGGATGATGAAAGTACCGAAGCACGAGCCAAACGCAAAGATTCTGCTTATTTCTGCCTCGTCTCTCCGTGAATTTTTGCTCCCAGAGCATGCACCATGACCATAACGCTGTCCAAGTCCTAGCTGGTCAAAAGCCTAAAACGAGGGCCCCTTGGCCTTTGTGCATCAACACATGGGCGGATCCAAGATTGAAACGTTGAATCTCCTTGAGGAGTTTTGAGCCCTAGACGAAGGGTAGTGAAAACGCTATAGGTATATAGGACATAGGAGAGACCAAACCACTCTATATCCTCTCTCCGCAGCATGGAGCGTCCTTCCAAAAAGCCAAAGAAGCCGGACAGTTTCTTCAGCAAGGACTTTTTGCTTCAGCACATCGCTGACATCATCGCCTTCTACAAGGTGAGGGCCTTGGATCCCAGTGGCGGCTTCTTTCAGAGCTTTCGAATCGATGGCACCAAGTTCAACGAAGACTTCCGGCAGATCGTGTCCAGTGCGCGGATGGTCATCAACTTCATGCTGGCCGGGAAGCTGTTGAAGGATCCGGAGCTCTTGAAGATCGGTAAGCATGGCTTGGAGTACCTGGAAAAGGTTCATTATGTGCCGGAGAAGCAAAGCTATGCCTTTACCGTGGAGAAGCACAAGCCCAAAGACATGGTGGAACAAGCCTATGGCTATGCCTTCGTTTTGGCTGCTCATGCCGCTGCTCGAACTGCGGGCGTGACGGACAGCAACGCAGAGGTCGCTCGAGTCTTTGACATGCTCGAGCGGAAGTTTTGGTTGCCGGAGAAGGGCGCCTATTTGGATACCATCAGCGCAGAAGGCGTGGTGGACAACAGCTACCGGGGACAAAACTCCAACATGCACATGTGTGAAGCGCTGATTGCGGCCTTTGAAGCTTGACACTGGTGGGGTCAGTGTTTTTGGGGTTCTTCATGGTTCTTCCAAAGATGCCTTCTGAGCATGAAAGAAACCTAATAGGAATGGCCTCCAACCTAAGAGCGATGGCCATAATCGTTTGATGAAATTTTGAGAACAGGAAAGAGAGATCTAAAGGGAATCTACCCTCCCTCCAACACACATGGAAGTGGAGCAGCCTACCCATTAAATTTCACACCCAGAGCATTTGCTGGACATATTTGCAGGAAGAGTCGTGGGTCTTTCTTTATTTCATGGTTTTCTTCCTCTCTCCCGGTGCCCAACGCCGTCACCTCGCCCGTGCCCATTCCGCCGTCACCTCGTCGAGGAAGCCACGGGAGACGTGCGCTACTTGGACCGCGCGGAGGTCCTGGCCGAGACGTTTGCCTCGACGTTGGCGGCCAAGGGAGGTGGCTTCGTGTGGGAGCACTACACCGTCGATTTCGAGATCGATTGGGAGTCCTGATCGATGTGGGAACTTCAGGTGGTTTCTTTCTTTTGTTCTTTTCTTTCACTCTGAGGTGTTGTTTCTGTCATCTTTCGACCCGGTATAAATACTTGGAAAAAGTTGCTATGATGCCAGGAGCCCCTAGTAGCGTCCTTGCTCCTAGTAATAAGGCCAGGAGACCCTAGTAGCCTGAAAAAGCTTTGTCTTCGTGTCTTCACCTTGTTTTCATCCCAGGACTACAACAAGAACGACCCCTCCAACATCTATCGCCCCTGGGGCTTTCAGCCGGGACATCAGATCGAATGGGCCAAGAATTTGCTGAATATTCATCGTCATCGACCCAAGTTTTGGATGGCGACTAGGACGTCAAACGGATGAACAACAAAAAAACAGAAACAAAAGACCCTGAGAGGGTCCTCGGATGTATGGATTGAAGGGGATGTCTGTTCTTTCCAAAAAAAGAGAAAACGGAATGTCCTCCAGCCCCTCCCTCCGCCCTCACTTCTTTCTTTCGCCTCACCTCCCCTCACCTCAGGTGAATCGTGCCAAGGAGCTCTTCGATGGAGCTTGGACCTTGTCCTGGGATCCAGTCTTCGGGGGCTTGGTCTATGGCTTTGGCCCCGATCGCACCTGGTGTGACTCGGACGACGCGGTGACCAACGCAGTTCACCAACACGTTCGGTGTCGGACGCTCCAGTTGACCTGGGGGGGGGGGGGGGACTGGGGGGGGGGGGCCGGGGGGGGTTGGGGAGAGGGAAAGGATGTCATGTCAGATTTTGGTGTGTTCTTTAGAGAAATGCGTGCGCGTGGTGACTGACATGTGTGTTCTTTTCTATTGGGGAGAGTCGTTCGTTTGTTTGTTCTGACCATGAAGCAAATCCTCAGGTGATGAAGAGAAGTATTTCTGGGTGCAAGGAGAGTCCATCGCAACGGCTTCGCTGCTCTACGAGGCCACGAAGGATCCCATTTATGTGGAGAAGTTCGTGTGCCTCTGGCAGTACTGCTGGGAGCATTGGGTGGATCACGAACATGGAGGCTGGTTGTGCTTCAAGATGTCGCGCGACAACAAGCGCATGAATGACGAGAAGGCCATTGCTGGTGGTAAGTGTGACCTTGGAAGAGCTTCAGATGTTTACATCCTTTTCTGCCTATGATTCCACTGGGTAAGTCCATGCCAAATCCGGGTCTCACCTGGTCACCTCACCTGGTCACTGCTGCTGTTGCTCCTGTTTCTCTTCCACCCAGTGGTCAACCCTCCACTGGTGACCTGGTCTACACCGATGTCCCAGCTGCCGTGTCCAACACACGAGACAGTCCAACGCTGCTCTCAGGTGACTACCATACCTTGGTCTCCTGTGTCGAGGCACTGCGTCCCTTCGTCTCGTGACACGCGCGGCCCGTCTCGACGACCCGTTGGCGCGGCCGTAGACCCGGCGAGGCAACAGTCCTTGGCAGCTCGAGCCGGACCGGTGGGTTCTTTCTCTCCCGGTGAAAGTGGAAGTCCAAACGAACACTCCTCAAGCAGAAGATACTATTCAATTCAATGGCACCAACGTCAAGAGATGCGGCAGTTGGCCCAGTCTCAGCCCTTTTTCCGGCGAGAGATCGACCAAAAACGCCCAAGAGCCGGACCGCCCGGCCCGCGGACTCCGAAAAGACGACGACGCTCCGTGCGCCGCGGCGACCCGCAGCGACCCATGCGGCCAACCCGTTGGTCACCGAGATCGAAGTGAGTGTCTCCAACAGGAAGACGTCGTACCCGTCGCAAGAGGGCGATCCACAAAGGAACCAATGAAGAATCCCTTTTGCCATATGTTTTACATGAAAGATTTGAAGATATGTCCAGATGCAAAGGTTCGCCCACCACACGGGAACAAAACACCTGCTTAAACAAACGCCTGGCCCATTTTGCGGTGCCCAGGAGCGCTTTTTCGAGCAGCAGGGTGAGCCTCTCTTCTCTTCCCACATGCTGGACCTTTCCGAGGACGGGGTTCTGTCGAGGCCCTGGTCTCTCCGAGTGAAGTGGCGACCGCTTTCGGAAGGCTCACCACGACGGCCATGGAAGCCACATTCAATCCGCCACCCAAATCCTTGACTTCCCTTGGTGTTTCTTACCTGATCTGAGGTTGAACCGAACAGTCTGCAACAAGCGATCGTTGACCGCACGACTGCGACGTCGCGCCAGGAGCCGTTGGAAGAGAACATCGAGATTTGCGTTTGGCGCTCAGACGGGCCCCGGTCTGCCTGCCACACAGGCCGTGGATGGATTCCTCCTGTGCAGTTTCAACATGGGCAGGGTGACTGTTACTTGGTTCCAAAAAAGAAAACCAGCTGCTCCACCCCGCCCCCACGCAATTTCATCCGTCATCGCCACTGAGGTGAAGTACTTGGAGCGCATGGCGAAGTTCAACTGCGGCCTGGAGATGGAGCTGGGGCCGGGAGCCACAGACAGAGCACCAGCCTGCGAGTCACTTTTGGACCCACGTGAACGGACATGGCTTTCTGTCCATCCACGGAGGCTTTTTCACTGGAGAAGCAAGAAGAACGCCTCGATCCCCGAATGAAAATGTATTGAACCTGTTCTGTAAAAAAAAAAGAATTGAGCCTCGGTACCCTTGGACCTCTTCCAGGACATGCTCGTGAAGCGGGGGAGTGGACCATTTGTTTGGCTCCAGGATCACTGGTGGAGAGGAAGATGGCGTGAACAACGAGGATGCCAATCCTGAGGATTTGTATTCCAAGCCCGAGGACCGATGAGACGACGACCCGACCCGACAGCACCGGCACCAGCGCAACGTTGCCGTTGCGCAGCGAGCCGAAAGGAAATCATCCCACGGACCGGTCGGCCTCCCCGGACGTGTGCTTTCGGTGTCCGGCGCCGACGGGAACAGCTCGTGATAGGGGCCGGAGTCGCTTCGGAGCTGGGCGCGGAAGCGGCTCAGGAGATCCTCCAGGTCTACGATGCCCTGAGCAAGGCGAGAAGGTTCAGTCTCGGTGGAAACCTCAAAGCCGGAAACCTGGCACCTGAAGACTATCTATCTATGATTGACTTTATAGCTGTGGCAGGATGTGGAAATGAGTAGAATCCCCCACCACTAAGAATTAACTCTAAGAATCACATAGAATCACCAACTCTCGAAGGGTGGTTCCGTGGGTTGGAAGACATGGCAGTGGGTGAAAACCTGGAGCTCGGTTGACCATGTTTGGACAATCTATTTACCAGGCTACCGCCTGCAGCCGCCGACCCCCAAGGGATAGAA